AATTCTTCTTTAATTTCCTGGTTGACCCATTCATTCTTTAGTAGGATGCTCTTTAGCCTCCATGTATTTGAGTTCTTTCCGACTTTCCTCTTGTGATTGAGTTCTAGTTTCAAAGCATTGTGGTCTGAAAATATGCAGGGAATAATCTCAGTCTTTTGGTACCGGTTGAGACCTGATTTGTGACCTAGGATGTGATCAATTCTAACCCATGGCAAATTCTGCTGTGTGCCTAGGGACAGAGCGAGCAGCACTGCAAAGAGGGGAGAGGAATCAGAAGGGAAGAAAGAGGGGCACCTGGGTGGCTCAGTCAGTTAAGTGTCTGCCTTCAGCTCAGGTCATGATCCCAAGGTCCTGGGATCAAGCCCCACATCGAGCGCCACGTTGAGCTCCCTGCTCAGCAGGGAGACTGCTTTTCCCTCTCCCCCCTGCTCTTGCTATCATTCTCTCTCTCAGGCAGTCCTCTTGCTCGTGTTAAACTAGTAAGTTTGGGAGGGAGGGAGGAGTCAGTACGTTTACAGTCATTTCACTTTCAGAGAAAATAAAACTCTTGGAAGAACTCTACATTGGATTTTAAGTAGTGTATGAGTTTATTTTTACACGTCTGTCCTTTCTGTGAGCTACACATGACCCTTGTCAAAAAACATCTGAGTGACTACTAAGTGCCAGACAACCTTGCAACACTGGTCCCTGCATTAAAAAGAATGGCACATCATTCATCTTCTTGCACGTACTAAGTGCTATGGAGGCTGTATTGCACATTTGTGCGACAATGGGCGGAACCCTACATGCCTGTTGAATTAATGAATAAAGAAAGAAATAAATGAGAAAATAAGTCATCATCATCAGAAACCCATAAATCTATTGGCTGTGAGAAATCAAAAGCCATTTTTCATCCCAGAGCTCATATTTATTTTTCCCTACGCTCCTTGCTTTCTTCTCATCTTAAACTACATTTAGAAGTTCTGCTTTTCTGAAGTCTGGCTAGCTTCAGAGCCTCTCACCACCACCCCTCCCCCCCCCTTCCTTGCTATAATCCTCCCAGAAAACCCGAGGCCCTGTTGCATAGTGTTTGTGGGAAATAAATAGGACATTTATATATATCTCATGTGTGTGTGTGTGTGACAGAGAAATAATGACAAAGAAACCACAGTCATTGTCATTTTCCTACATTTTGACTGCTTTTCTAAACAGTGATTCTAGGTGAGGGATCTTTGCATTTTGCAGTCTGGAAGCTCTGACTGCAGCTGGGATGGTAAGTTTAGTTTCTGCCTTTTCTTCTCCTGAATTCTATGTATTATACAAACCTTATCAAGGAAGAAAATAAAGAAAAATCTCCAACATCCCACAAACCATTTAAATTTCTCCCTATGCTGAGGGTGATGGAAATTTTATCTTGATTACACAACTGTATTCATTTGTCAAAACTCACCAAGCTGTCTACTTTAAAAGGGTAAAGACTATAAGGTATATCTCAATAAGCCTAACCAAAGCCAAAACCAAAATATTTTATGCCCTCCCTTGCAGACATAATTGTATGGTGTTATCATAACAGTGTACATATCTTTTCCTTAGTGCTGTATTCCTGCTTAACTACTTAAAGTACCTTCCCATGTTGCTACACTGTCCTGAAGCAGTGATTGTGAGAAGGATCAGGGCCCATACCACTAGATGAAAAGTATGGCCAAACCAGTGACATCATAACATCTAGTAAGATTAGTGCCCACCAACAGGGGGTGCCTGGATGGCCCAGTCGGTTGAGTGTGGGACTCTATGTCAGCTCACGTAAAGATCTCAGGGTTGAGATGGAGCCCTGCATCTGACTAGCGCTCCACACAGAGTCTGCTTACGATTAGTGATTCTCCCCTTTTCTTCTCCCTCTGCTCTGCCACCCCCCTCCACCCTGCCCAGCTCATGCACGCTCTAAATAAATAAATAAAATCTAAAAAAAAAAAAAGATTAGTGTCCATACACAATTCTTCGTGTTATCAAAGTAGTTCATTATAAAATTAACTTAAAAGTATCAGGACTCAAAAATTCAGATTTAATCAGAGAGGACGTGGAACAGGTGTGAGAACACATCCGAGTGTGTGTATGATTAGTTATGAACTCCCTTCTGAGGCAAGAGCTACTGCAAGTCAGGGTCAGATTTCTCTCCCTCCCTCAGAGGCTCACCAGTGTGATGCCAAAAGGTTCACTCCACGTGTAATTGAGAGATGGCTACACCCAGGCACCTGCCCTCTACTGCACAGGCCCAAATACTTTCGTACCTACATGTTTGAGTGGGCACTGAAATTAAACAAGGATGTGGACAGGAAAGAAAAGGAACCCAAACAGAAAAGCCACATCCCCTTCCAATCAAGTTTAGAAACATGATTTTACATTCTTGCTATCAATGCTGACTCATCACTTCATATTCTTTTTACTGGTTATTTCCTTGGTCTATTGCTTAGTTACACAGGATCCTCATCATGGTCATTATCGAGATAAGAAGAAGTCCTGGGCTCCGATTCCACACAGTGTGCCTTGCTACTGCCCCACCAAATGGCCCTCCTTAATTCCTGAAAGCCATCACTGGATACTTTCTCTGCTTACCTCCTCCCATATTTCTTGAATCACAACAGGCCATGTCATTGGAATGCCATACCCCTAAGCCCCAAAGTGTTCTGTAAACTCTACCAAGTCTAGTAGAGAATGCAGGTGCAGACTGATGGGTACACACCCAAACTGGACATCATAAAGGAGAACTCCTACCATTTCCCACCCAGGGGTTGGAAGAGAAGAGTCAAACATGGTTCTTAACACGTGAGAACACAAATGGAGTTGGGAAAACAATAATGACTCCACGAGCTCAGAAGACAAACACAGGCATGGTCAGGAGCCCAGGGAAACTGGTAACTCTAGGTGGGTGGGTTTTCGAGCACATGAGGGAGCTTATGGGGAGTGGGACAAAGGATTCAGGCTCCCAGGGGAAGTGAGATCCTGAAAGAAATGCACTATTGGAACAGGGGAAGAACTAGCCATTTCAGACGAGGGGAGCAGCACAAAGAGAGGCAGGGAGGGAGGAAGGAGTGCGGGGTGTGGGGAAGGCGGGGCAGCCACTGGCCTGGAGGGGGCAAAGCGCTGGTGCTGGGCAGGCAGAGGGGGGTGGCCAGAAGCAGGGCAGTGGGGCCCAACTGCGGCTGGCCCTGTCACTTGGGTGGCCTTCTTGCGAGCATGCAACTTCTGGTGCTGAATGAAACTTGCGCTCCACGTGAAAGCTTTCCCGCACACCTTGCACTCATAAGGCCTCTCCCCGGTGTGAAGCCGCTGATGCTGGACCAGGGTGACCTTCTGATTGAAGGCCTTCCCGCACTCCTGGCAGCCATAGGGCTTCTCCCCGGTGTGGATGCGCTGGTGCACTGTAAAGCGAGAGCTACAGCTGAACGTTTTCCAGCACTCTTTGCATTTGTAGAGCTTCTCCCCAGTGTGGAGCCTCTGGTGCTGGAGAAACACGGAGCTCCGGCGGAAGGCCTTCCCGCACTCCCGACATGTGTAGGGCTTCTCCCCGGTGTGGATGCGCTGGTGCTGGATGAGGACTGAATTTGAACTGAAACTTTTCCCGCACTCTTGACACTTGTAGGGCTTCTCCCCGGTGTGGGTGCGCTCATGGACGATTCGGTCATAGCGACACCGGAAAGCCTTCCCACAGTCCTTACACTGAAAGGGTTTCTCCCCGGTGTGGATTCGCTGATGCCGGATGAGTTTTGAGTTGTAGCTGAAGGTTTTCCCACAGTCCTGACATCCGAAGGGCTTCTCTCCACCGTGGAGTTTCTGGTGCTGAAGGAGGTGGGAATTTTGACCGAAGGCTTGTCCACACTCCTGACACAAGTAAGGCTTCTCCCCGGTGTGGGTTTTCTGGTGTCGGGAGAGTTTTGAGTTATACCTGAAGGCTTTCCCGCACTCTCTGCACTTGTAGGGCTTGTCATCAGTGTGAATCCTCTGATGCTGCAAAAGGTCTGAATGTTGGCTGAAATATCGGCCACACTCACCACATTTATAAAATGCCAGTCCTCCAGGGAGGCCCTGCTTTGACAGGAGGTGGGTATTGACACTGGTGCTTCCTTCCAGCTTCCTACCTGCCTCCTCCCTTTTGATGACGGGAGCTCTGTAGTCCTGGACCAGCAAGTCCGTGAAACCTCCTTGGTTTGTTTTCTCCCCTGCGTCACATGGCTGTGGCCTTCCTAAGTTGTCCTTAAGGTGAGGGTGCTGGGGAGCTTCTGTGAGCAGCCCCTCCACCATCAGTCTATGGGCTGCTGAGTCTTTAGAAATGTTTAGTCTTGGGCTTTGCTCCTCACGCTCGGTCTTGTTTTTACCACCTAGTATGAGAAAAAGAAAACAGAGGCTCTGAAGCTAGAAAGGTAGAGTTTACTTAAAAAAAAAAAGAAAGAGTGATGCATTTTGATGCATTCATGGCAGATTTTATACTATTTTGGTCTATTTAAGTCTAGTGTAGTCCAGACTAGTTTTTTTTTTTTTTTAACTGAGTTTTTTCTATTAGAAGAACTAGGTTTTTCACAACTACATAATTTCTCAAATTTTATTTATTTATTTATCTCAAGTAATCTCTATACCCAATGTGGGGCTCGAACTCATGACCCTGAGATCAAGAGTCCGCATGCTCTACCCACTGAGCCAGCCAGGAGCCCCAAACTAATTTTTAAATGCTGAGAACTCATTGATGAGCTGAAATCCAGATTTTAAAAGGTATGGCTTGAGATTCTCAAGGACAGTAGTCCTCAAAGTGTGGTCCCCGGACCACCATCACCTGGGAACCTGCTAGTAATGCAAATTCCTGGGCCCCACCCCAGTGCTGTTGAATTAGAACCTCTGGAGGTGATATCCAGCAAGTCCATGTTCTAACAAGCCCCTCACGAGATTCTTATGCTCACTGGAATTGGAAACCACTGATCTAGAAGCTAAAAAGGCAGGTGGAGACTGTTCGTGTACTTGTTTTAAGCTGTACTGCCCATAAGGCAGCCCCTAGACACCTCTGGCCACTTAAATTTATTTTATTTTTATTTTTTTGGCTGTTTAAAGATTTTATTTATTTATTTGAGAGAGAGAGAGTGTGAGCAAGAGCATCAACAGGGGGAGGGGCATAGGGAGAGGGAGAAGCAGACTCCCCGCTCAGCAGGGAGCCTGATGCGGGGCTCGATCCCAGACTGAGATCATGACCTGAGCCAAAGGCAGACACTTAACTGACTGAGATGTGGCTACTTAAATTTAATTAAAATGGAACATAATTTAAAATTCAGTTCTTTGTTTGAACTAGCCACAGTTCAAGAACTGATGAGGACAATGGCTACCATATTGGGCAGCACAGATATAGCACATTTCCATCACTAGACAGTGTCCTATTGGACAGCACTGGCTTAAAGCCGTTGGCAGACTAAAGAAGACCATGCACAGCTATGGCAAAGGGAAACACCACTGCAGGTGGTCGGCGGGGATAGGTTTCTCATCAAGATGATGGGAAGTGGGGTGCTAGGTGGCTCAGTTGGTTAAGTGTCTCCCTTTGGCTCAGGTCATGATCTCAGGGTCCTGGGATCGAGCCCTGAGTCGGGCTCCCTGCTCAGTGGGGAGCCTACTTCTCCCTCTATCCCTCCCCCTGCTTGTGCTCTCTCTCTCAAATAAATAAATAAAATCTTAAAAAAAAAAAAAATATGACAGGAAGTGCTGAGTCAGCACAAAGGCACTGTTGATGAGGACAGAAGTGGACTGAATTAGGAAGGAGCCTTTGGTTTATAAGACGCTGAGCAACATAAGGGATGGAGAGAGCATGAGAACAGGGCCAACTGAATGAGAAGGCTAAACACCCAATCTCTGGATGGTTCTCATTCACCTCAATTCTGTACCTTTCAGAAAAGGAAACCATTCATTCCCAATAAACAGGCTTTCTTTGAAAAGCTAATTGATAGTGTTTAGGAATTCATAAAAACTCTCTTCCCATGTACAGTTTCATACACCTACATACATAAAATGTTCTTACAGAAACAAGCTCTGGGGTGCTGTGTGGCTCAGCTGGTTGAGCATCAACTCTTGGTTTCAGCTCCAGTCATGATCTTGGGGTCGTGGGATCAAGCCCCGCATCAGGCTCCGTGCTCAGTGCAGAGTCTGCTAAAGACTGTCTCTCCCTCTGCCCCTCCCCCTTCTCTCTCTCTCAGATAATAAATAAATAAATAAATCTTTAAAAAGAAGAAACAAGCTCTTACACTACATTGTGTTTATATTCCTAAATTGACCCCCTAAAAGCCTATTTTCACTATGCGTTTTTGAAATCCTCTAGCTTTGCAAAGAAAAATAACAGAAAATGAAATTTTCGATGGGTCTTTTCAGTATGGAGCTGAAGCTCTATCAAGGGTCACTTTTCTGAATGAGAGTGAACATCTTCATCCTCATAAGAACTGGTATGACAGAAGCAAAACCTTTTTCATGTTGAATCATTAAAAGACAGGAGGAGGCCAAGCCAAAGAGGAAGATGGTAAGTTCTCCTGCTTACCTATGTGGACACCTCCCAGGGCCTCCCCATCAAGGGGTGTCCAGGGATCCAGGCCCCATGGTGCTTCCCCTTGCTCCAGCTGGAGTATCAGATCTGGTTTGGGGAATGGCAATGCTGCTGAAGGAGAAAGAAAAGGAACAGGAAGCTGAGGAGAGTTGCTGCTGACCCCATCAGCCCACCCTCTGCTTTGCCAGGTGAACAAGTTGACAACCCAGGACACTAAGTGAGCTCAGTGTGGAGAGAATCTGGGGTTCTAAGGAAGGCTGAAATTGTTTTGCTCAAGAGGAGGCTTACTCTGGCTCTATCAGAGAAGACAGACAGCTCCTACTGTCATTAGAGGCGTGTACAGGGGGTCCTAGGAGACTCTCACACAGGACAGATGGAGCCCAGGACTCCAGGGAACTGGAAGAGTGGAGGATCCAGGAACCCTCTCAGCTGTCTGTGCCCAGAGCAAAAACCCCTCTCAGGAGAGTCCCCATCAAGAAACAGGGAAGAGGCAAATCCTGCTGAAAACCAAAGTGAGCCTAGATCTTTCTCCATTAGCTACTCCCAAAACAGGAGATTAGGGAGCTCAGCTCATGGTGCGTCAGTTCTGGGGATATGAGAGACCCCGGATCCACCAAGGAGGAAGCCAGGGACCCTTAGGGCAGAGCTGGTTCAGGGACAAGGAAGGACTTACCCAAGGAAGTTATGTTTGCATAATTCTCCAGCATCACCTCTAGGTACAGGGCCCTCTGCATGGGGTCCAGGCTGGCCCACTGATTCTGGGTGAAGTACACGGCCACATCCTCAAAGGTCACTGGCTCCTGAAACAACAGGCTCCTGCTCAAGCCCTGTGTGATGGCTAAGGAGGGGCCTGAACTCCAGCGAAGGGCTGACCCTACTGGAGTCCATGGCTCCGAGCCCCTCAGGAGGCTTGTACTGACAAGGACAGCCACAACCGTACCCCAGTCGGGGACAGCCCTCAGCACATTTTCAACATGCACACCCCTGAGGTGCCCCTGCCTGGTCGTCACATCAACCCCATGTCTGGTTCCATGAGCTGGGTCGATCTTTCTGGCATGTCTTCTAATACGACCATAGCATCTCTCATTCACCCTGAATTCATCCACTCCATCCACTCGGTTTCTCTCTGGTGTTCCCCCTCCATGCGTTTTTATAGACAGAGGAACAATCCCACAGGCACAGAGTTCCTTCCACTCTGGTTGGTTCTCCGTCTTTCTGGCATCTTATCAGAGAGCTGGTTGTCCCTTGAAGGCAATGTGCATTGTCGCCGCCTCCTCTAACACCCAACTCCAGGGACAGGATGGCAGTCTTCAGCCCTGAGCAGGCACCTGCCCCCAGATCACCTGCCAACACTGCCCTCTGTACCAGGTGTGTCTCCCTGCTCCCGATGGGGCCACTTCCACCTTCTCAGGGGAGAAGGAAACCATCCCTTGTCCTGTGTCAACTACTTTTACATCAATTCACTCAATCATCAGAACACACACGCGACGTAAAAATTAGTATTCTCTATTACAGATGATGGGAATCAGTGATGTTAAGCACTTTGAAATAGACAAAAGGGAGTCCTCTTTATCTGAGTATCATGAAGTTGTATAAGGAAGCAAACATTTCAAAGTGAACTGACTGCTTATACAAGTGAGTGGCACTATACCGTCTCTCCTTGACTGACAGTGAACTCTACCCCAGTCTGTCACGTCAACAACCTCTCTGTGCCTAGTGTCTGCCAGGGGGAAGAAACAGAACTACAGACGTACTATATAGGATTGCAGCCATCATGGTAAAGATTGGTTCAGACAAGAATCACCCATGGATGCTACATCGAGGAGGAAATTTCCAAGAGGAGCAGGATACTTGCATAATCATAAATGTCTCCCCATTGATTTCTGATCAGTTGCAAGGGAAAGACAGTAACTATACACTGAATAAATCAGGTATCACCTTGACCAGCAAGTTTAAATGTGGCTTGTGTGACTGAGGAACTGAATTTCTCATTTTAATTAACTTTAATTCTAAACAGGCACATATAGCTAGTGGCTACCTTCCTGGACAGTGCACAATAGATAGTTCATTGCCCCCAAATGTTAACCAACCTTCTGTCTTCCCTCAGAGCCAACAGCTGGGAACATGGACCTTCCTTCCTTATATCATGGCTTCTATCCCTCCACACCTCTGAGGCACCCCTGTAATAACAGTGCATTCCTTGCTCCTTGTTTTCTACAACATTCAGCTTCTCAACTTTCTGCTCCACCTCTGACCACTCTGCTTCTGTCCTTTGCTAGCACTTACTTCTTCTCCATGATGAAGCGGGGCTCTTGATTCCCCTACAGAGGAAGTGGGTTCTGAGATAGCGTAGCACAGGGGCAAAGAGCACGGGCTTCAGAGCAGTGCTTCTCAACGGGGAAATGTCCACCAGGAGACATAGGGCACTCGCTGTCTGGGGACTTTTTTTTTTTTTTAAGATTTATTTATTTATTTGAGAGAGAGAGAGTGCACGCACAAGTGGGGGAAGGAGGGGCAGAGGGAGAGGGAGAAGCAGACTCCACGCTGAGTGCAGAGCCCAGTGTGGGGCTCAATCCCAGGACCCTGAGATCATGACCTGAGCCAAAGGCAGACGCTTACCCGACTGAGCCACCCAGGCGCCCCAGGGGACATTTTTAGTTGTCACAACCATGGGGTGTGGGGGTGCTACTGGCATCTAGTGGGTAGAGGCCAGGGATGCTGCTAATCATCGTACAACACACAGGACAGGCCCCCACAACAAAGAATTATCTGGCCCAAAATGTCAACAGTGCTGCGGTTGACAAACTCAGCTCTAGGGTCAGACTCCCTAGGCTTAAATTCTATCTCTGAGGGGCGCCTGGGTGGCTCAGTCGTTAAGTGTCTGCCTTTGGCTCAGGTCATGATCCCAGGGTCCTGGGATCGAGCCCTGCATTGGGTTCCCTGCTCGGTGGGAAGCCTGCTTCTCCCTCTCCCACGCCCCCTGCTTGTGTTCCCTCTCTTGCTATGTCTCTATCTGTAAAATAAATAAATAAAATAAGATTCTATCTCTGATAACCATCAGCTGTGTGACCTTGGATGAGATACTCAAACTCTTTTGCCTCAGTTTCCCCATTTGGAAAACTAGGATAATAGGAGTACCTATCTTATAAGGCTCTTGTAAGAGTGGAAGTGGAATGAGTTAATATATGTAAAGAACTAAAACAACGCCTGGCACACGGTGTTATATAAATCTCAGCACTTAAAAGTACAGATGAGATTAGGGGAACATTTCTCATAGAGATCGTAGATAAGACTGATGGTTGTCTAGGGACGCCTGGGTGGCTCAGTGGGTTAAGCAGCTGACTCGAGATTTTGGCTCAGGTCATGATCCCAGGGTGTGGGGATCGAGCCCCATATCGGGCTCTGTGCTCAGTGGGGAGTCTGCTTGAGAATTCTCTCTCTCTCTCTCCCCCTCTGTCTCCCTCCCTGCCTTCACACTCAAATAAATAAATCTTTAGGAAAAAAAAAGACTGACAATTGTCTAAACATATATGTGCGTATTTTTCCCCCTCCCTTTCTTTTTTAATTAAAGAATCCTAATTTTACTTGGGGCTGCTCCCAGCTCTGGCAACTAAGTGAGGTCAATGAAACACAAGTACAAAAACTGTCAGGGACTCTCTGGGAAGGTTCCTTAAAGAGTGCAAACTGATGAGAGGTTCACCTTTTTTGTCATCTGCTCTTCTATCTGGAATGCACACATGATAGCTGGAGATCAAGCAGGCACCTTGGACCATGAAGCGGCCTTGAGCATGAAAGCCAGTGCTAGGATGGTGAAGCAGAAAAACAGAAAGAGCCCGGTGTGGGGTAACACTGCCACAATGTCCCTGTACTGCCTCTCCCCAACCTCTCTTGCATGAGAGCCTCTATCTCGTTTAAACCACTGTCCCTTGGGGTTTCCTTACTGGAGGCCAATCCTGAGTGACTACTATACCCCACACAAAGCACCAGGAGAGAACAGACTGCCCCCACAGATGTTTAAACACTTCCTGACTTGGAACTAATTTTGACTTAAGTGGTGAAGCAGAAGTGGATGGTCCGATGTCTACATACACATTATTCTTAAGTCTTGGATAGGGCTTCCTAATTATATGACACATCCAATACACAGGACACCAGCTTTCTCATTCCCTGATCTAGGATGCTGGAGAAAAATTCAATGCAAGCATCCTCTAGTGCCAAGAAAATTCTGGAAGGACAACTGCTTCCAGAGCTGCATGAATTTGTGCCAACAAAGGATACAGGCTTTTGCAGAGATTAAGCTGTAATCTATGCAAAGGGCCGGAGGCCCTGGCATCAGCTCCAAACTCAGCAAGAATCCATCTCCCTCATCAATCCACACTCTCCAAAGGCTCCCCAGTGGTGGCTTCACTGTACCCTGACTTTGTGATCTGCAGGGCAAACTCCTCCTGTGGGAATGACTGTTTAAATGCAGGAGGTGGCCTTCCTCCGTATGGTGTGAGGCAGACTAGCACAGCCCAAATTTTAACTTGCCCATTTGTTCCCCAGATATTGTACAAGTGAAGAGTCTGATTCTGGCGATCTGGAAGGCAGCTATGCTCACCACTATACCACCAACGCGATTCTGGCAATCTGGGTTGAGGCCTGAGACTCTACCTTTCTAGCAATCCCCTTAGTGATGCCAAAGCTGCTCATCTGTGAACCGTACATTCATGGTCCACAGTCTGCATGGATGTAGACTCTCACTTTTTAGGAGAGTTTCTTAGCTGGTGCTTCCTTCTTTCCCAACCGATCTGATCCTCCCAAGTTCACCTACTCACCTTCATCACCTCCCCTAACATACTCCTCTGCCATACTCAACTGATGGATGCAAAGCTAAGCATGGGACTGGCCAGGCCAGGCTACTATTCCTGTAGTGATCAATCGTATTTCTTTTGAATGTGGGAAGCTGCAAGAAAGCTCAGCTCACCTGGGACCACACTGTCTGGAGCATGGCCGACGACCCCTGGCTTCATGCACTGCCCTCTCTGTTTGGAAAAGCAAGAACCTGTGGAGCTAAGAGAGAGAATCACAATGAGGCTGACCCTGCCTTGTCCCCCACCTCTTTCCCCTCAGTCTCCGTGCCTCTCTCATTGGAAACAATATTCCTAGGACACTCTGGATGTTCTCAGTGCACCTTCTCCAGTGGCTCATGCGGTGCTGAATCTGCTTCCTTTGTAAATTCTACAAATCTGCCTGGTGAGGCTGAAAATTCCTCGAAACAATGTCTCTGAAGCAAGAGTCAAGAACTGCAGTGGATTTGTGGCTTTCAAGAAAATCCCTGGCCCACTATGAATGAATTACTAAGTAGTCTGTACTGAATGGTTCCAGCAAAGGTAGCAAAGACCAAAACGAGCATTTAGAGAAAATGTAGGGTAACGGGGCCCCGGGACAAAATGCAAGTGGTGATCTGGCCCCAGGGGAAAGGGGAAGACGCCCGACGTCCCAGGGGGGCGATGGTGACCGGAAACCCGACGGGAATCTGCACACTCCAGCCCCGTAAGCGGGCGACCCCACGCGTCACCGGCCCTCACCCTGAGTACCGCGAGCCGGGGGACGTCAGGCCAGCTCTCCGGGGCAGGAGGGTTGACGGCGCCTCTGCGGGCAGGGGCCCCTCGGGCGGCGTCCGCTCAGCCCGACGCCTGAGTTCGCGGACAGTGCGGAACGCGCCACCGCGCGCAGGCGGAGCGCCGAACGCCCGGCCTCTCCCGCAGATCGCAGCCGAGGCGGAAGCGCGAGCGGAGGCGCTCCCACCCGCGCCGCTCTAGGAAGCCCGGAGGCTGGCCTTCTCCATGATCCCGAGCCAGAGTCGCCACCTGCGCCCTGGCGCGGGCTTTCTTCCCGCCCTGCCTGCGCGGCGCCGCGCCCCAACCGGAGAGCAGCAACTCGGGGACATCGAGTCCGCACCACACTCCGCGTGGGTCTGCGTGCGAGCTCCAGCGCTTGCCAGCAGTAACTTCCTCTCCTAATGAATTCCCAGCCCCAGTCTCTGTCCAGCGGCTTCGAGACTGTGACCTGAGGTCTCCAAGTCCCAGGTCTGACTGTCCCCGTTCTGATTCCGGCTCCACCACCTATTCACTGTATGGCCTGTGCCAGTTACTGAAACTCTGTGCTTCCCGTTTCTCAGTTGGGAACGGCAGTAGTTTCGAACTCATAAACTCAGTGCAGCAATTGAGTGAGTCAACTCGTGCAAAGCACTTAATGACAACTTCTGGTTCTGCATCATAAGTAACTCAGAGTAAGTTCTAGCTCTGTTGTTGCGGACATTACTGTTATTCCTGTGTGTCGTTGCCGCTTTCCTAAAACACACTCCCATATCTCTTTCTCCAATCCAGATAGAATAATAGCACCGGCAGCAGTGTTTCCTATTGGCCAGGCGTGCCAGGCGTTGTGCAGATACCTTTGAGCTAGAGTCCTGTGTATCAACCTGCCCATTGTTTCTTTCTACTTGGCTAATCCACAGGCACCTAAAACTCAAAATGTTCCAGACGGATCTTGTCATCCTTCCCTCACCCTCCTGTTCCACTTTCCAGGGTTGCCCTGTCCCTCCCTCCTCCTCCTCCCGCAAACTGCATGGTAACCCAACTAGGTGAGTTTGATCCTTGGTGAGTTACAGGTAGAGACTACACCAGATGGAGCTGTCACACAAAGGAAATTTTATTTGCAGCAAATAAGGAGATCGTGGGGAATAACTTCCAAAGCTGTGATTCCCCCAGTGGAGGCAAGTGGGTTCTTTTTTACTTAAGGTTGGGATGAATATTCAGAAAGGGGACTTTTGTCATCACATGTAAAGGTGGGCATTAGGTTGCGCAGGGGTACTTAGAAAACATGCCTATACATGCATTCTGTGTTATGTTAACGAAGGGGGAAATTTTAACATTATAATGACCACTCCATGGTCCATCTGCACAGCTGTAAGCCAGGGGTCAAGCTCAAGCTGGTTTAGGCCAGCTGGAGCTCTTCCTGTTGTTTGCCTCTAAAAGATAAGGTTAACATTCCTGTGAAGAAAGGGGGTCAGTGGGGGTCTTGCTGGTGACCTTTTACCTCATTAACCCTATGGAGCATAGATTCAGCACCACTTTTCATCCAGCCAACCAAATCATTCAATGTGGGGGTCATAACTGATCCCTTCTTCTGAATCTCTTCTTACCTGGATTGCTATAGCAGCCTCCTAACTGTTCTGGTATCAAGTCTGGCCCCCTCTGCTCCCTTCTTCCCACAGGATAGACAGGGTGATCTAAGATATGAATCTGGGCATGACACTGCTTTTAAAAACCCTTCAAAAGTATCTGATTTTGCAGATATTGTCCCTAAACCTTCAGATACTAGAATAGCTGTCACTTGCAACATGATACCCTATGTAGAAAACCCGAAAGACTCCACCAAAAATTTGCTAGAATAAATGAATTCAGCAAGGTCACAGGATATAAAATCAACGTACAGAAATCTGTTGCATTTCTATACAACAATCATGAAGCAACAGAAAAAGGAATCAAGGAATAGATCCCATTTACAATTGCACCAAAAATAAGAAGATACCTAGGATTAAACTTAACCAAAGAGGTAAAAGATCTGTTCTCTGAAAACTCACGAAAGAAACTGAAGAAGACACAAAAATGGAAACACATTCCATGCTTATGGATTGGAAAAATAAACATTGTTAAAATAGCTATACTACCCAAAGCAATCTACACATTTAGTGCAATCCCTATCAAAATACCACCAGCAGGGGCGCCTGGGTGGCTCAGTCTGTTAAGCGTGTCTGACTTCAGCTTAGGTCGAGATCCCGAGGTCCTGGGATCCAGGCCCTGGTCAGACTCCCTGCTCATCAGGGAGTCGGCTTCTCCTTCTCCCTCTGTCGCTCCCCCTGCTCATGTTTGCTCTCTCTCTCAAATAAATAAAATCCTTAAAAAATACCACCAGCATTTTTCACAGAGCTAGAACAAACAATCCTAAAATGTGTATGGAACCACAAAAGACCCCAAAAAGCCAAAGCACTTCTGAAAAAGAAAAGCAAAGCAGGAGGCATCACGACTCCAGACTTCAGGGTATATTACAAAGCTGTAGTCATCAAGACAGTATGGTACTGGCATAAAAACAGACACATAGATCAATGGAACAAAATTGAAAACCCAGAATTGGACCCACAACTCTATGGTCAACTAATCTGACAAAGCAGGAAAAAGTATCCAATGGAAAAAAGTCTCTTCAACAAACGGTGTGGAGAAAACTGGACAGCAACACGCAGAAGAATGAAACTGAACCGCAGTTTCTTATGCGTGCGAGCTCCAGCGCTTGCCAGCAGTAACTTCCTCTCCTAATGAATTCCCAGCCCCAGTCTCTGTCCAGCGGAGACCATACACAAAAATAAATTCAAAATGGATGAAAGAACTACATGTGAGACAGGAAACCATCAAATACTAGAGGTGAACACAGGCAGCAACCTCTTCATCCTCAGCCACAGCAACTTCTTACTAGGCACCTCACTGGAGGCAAGGGAAACCAAAACAAAAATGAACTATTGGGACCTCATTAAGATAAAAAGCTTCTGCACAGCAAAGGAAGCAGTCAACAAAACTAAAAGGCAGCCTACAGAATGGGAGAAGATATTTGCAAATGACCTATCAGATAAAGGGCTAGTATCCAAAAATCTATAAAGAACTTATCAAGCTCAACACCCAAAAATCAAATAATCCTGGGCGCCTGGGTGGCTCAGTTGGTTAAGCGACTGCCTTCGGCTCAGGTCATGATCCTGGAGTCCCGGGATCGAGTCCCACATCGGGCTTCCTGCTTAGCAGGGAGTCTGCTTCTCCCTCTGACCCTCTTCCCTCTCGTGCTTTCTATCTCTCATTCCCTCTCTCTCAAACAAATAAATAAAATCTTTAAAAAAAAATCAAATAATCCAGTTAAGAAATGGGCAGAAGACATGAATAGACATTTTTCCAAAGAAAACATCCAGATGGCTAACAGACACATGAAAAGATGCTCAACATTGCTCATCATCAAGGAAACGCAAATCAAAACCACAATGAGATACCACCTCACACCTATCCGGATGACTAAAATGAACAGCTCAGGAAACAACAGATATTGGCAAGGATGCAGAGAAAGGGGAACCCTCTTAAACTCTTGGTGGGAATGCAAATTGGTGCAGCCACTCTGGAGAACAGTATGGAGGTTCCTCAAAAAGTTAAAAGTAGACCTAGCCTATGACCCAGAAATTGCACTACTATGTATTTACATAAAGAATACAAAAATACAGATTCGAAGGGGCACATGCACCCTGATGTTTATAGCAGCCTTAACAACAATAGCCAAACTATGGAAGGAGCCCAAATGTACATTGACTGATGAATGGATAAAGAAGACATGGCATAAATTTGCAATAACATGGATGGAACTGGAGGGTGTCATCCTGAGCGAAATAAGTCAATCAGAGAAAGACATGTATCATATGACCTCACTGATATGAGGAATTCTTAATCTCAGGAAACAAACTGAGTGTTGCTGGAGTGGTGAGGGGTGGGAGGGGTGGGGTGGCTGGGTGATAGACATTGGGGAGGGTATGTGCTATGGTGAGCGCTGTGAATTGTGCAAGACTGTTGAATCACAGATCTGTACCTCTGAAACAAATAATGCAATATATGTTAAGAAAAAAAGAAAAAAAGAAGATAGCAGGAGGGGAAGAATGAAGGGGGGGAATCGGAGGGGGAGACGAACCATGAGAGACGATGGACTCTGAGAAACAAACTGAGGGTTCTAGAGGGGAGAGGGGTGGAAGGATGGGTTAGCCTGGTGATGGGTATTAAAGAGGGCATGCTCTGCATGGAGCACTGGGTGTTATGCAGAAACAATGAATCATGGAACACTACATCAAAAACTAATGATGTAACATATGGTGATTAAAATAACAATAAAAATTTTTTAAAAAAGACATGGCATATATATACAATGGAATATTACTCAGCCATCAAAAAGAATGAAATCTTGCATTTGCAATGACGCGGATGGAGCTAGAGTGCATTATGCTAAGTGAAATAAGTCAGAGAAAGACAAATACTGTATGATTTCATACATATGTGGAATTTAAGAAACAAAACAGATGAACATATGGGAAGGGGGGAAAAAGGAGAGGGAAGCAAGCCATAAGAGATTCTTGATGATGGAGAGCAAACCCAGGGTTGATGGAGGGAGGTGGGTGGGGGATGGGGTAGATGAGTGATAGGGATTAAGGAGGGCACTTGTGATGAGCACTGGGTTGGCTGTTGTATGTAAGTGAGGAATCACTGAATTCTACTCCTGAAACCAATATTGCCCTGTATGTTAACTACCTAGAATTTAAATAAAAATTTGGGGAAAAGAAATAGAATAGCTGTCACTTGAAAAAGTCTTTTTTTTTTTTTAAGATTGTATTTATTTATTTGACAGAGAGAGAGAGTACCCAAGCAGGGGGAGCTACAGAGTAAGAGGGAAAAGCAGGTTCCCCGCTGAGCATGGAGTCGAATACAGGCTGATGCGGCTGATGCGGGGCTGGATCCCAGGACCCTGGGATCATGACCTGGGCTGAAGGCAGACCCTTACCTAACTGAGCCACCCACACGTCCCAAAGAAGTCTTTTCTGATGCCCTAGGTGATGATCTTCCAGG